TTTTTTCCCCCTAACAAAAGCGTCTTAATTACCAGGAATTTAAGCTGTATACAATCGTCCGCATTAACAAATTACAGAAGAGGAAGGAAAAAACAGAGAATGCAGAAAGAGAGAAGAAATCTCTGCTCATAAAGAAAATGTCACATCAAGTACATGCAAGCTGAAAGAGTCTCTTGGGAAAAAATGGGATCTGAAAGTAGAGAACATGAACATTGATGAAGACTGTTAACATGTCTAAAAATAAATTCAGAGCAACGAAGTAGATATCTTTACGACTTTTTTTTTTTTTTTTTTTTTGAGACAGTCTCGCTCTATCGCCCAGGCTGTAGTGCAGTAGTGTGGTCTGGACTCACTGCAACCTCTGCCTCCTGGGTTCAAGTGATCCTCGTGCTTCAGCCTCCTGAGTAGCTGGGATTACCCCTATGCCCAGCTAATTTTTTGAATTTTTAGTTAAGACAGGGTTTCATCGTGTTGCCCAGGCTGGTCTCAAACTCCTGACCTCAAGTTATCCATGCACCTCAGCCTCCCAAAGTGCTGGGATTACAGGTGTGAGCACTGTATCCAGCCAGGTTCTGCATTTTAATAACCTCTTGACCTTACACAGAACTTACAATAATGTAATATGGAATAACCACTTTCTTTTTGTTGACATGTCCCAATTCTGCTGCTGCTTTTCAGATCAACCCTTATCAATAGCTTCCTCTGTACCCAACTAATTGCTAACACAACATACTGCAGTCAGGGAGTTGAAAGAAGGTACAGCTTTCCTGATACTGGTCATTAGTGGTCCAAAAGTCTCAGAATCATTTTTTTTTTGAGATGGAGTTTTTGCTCTTTTTACCAAGGCTGGGCTGCAATGGCACAATCTGAGCTCACCACAACCTCCACCTCCCAGGTTCAAGCGATTCTCTTGCCTCAGCCTCCCGAGTAGCTGGGGTTATAGCCATGTGCCACCACGCCCAGCTAATTTTGTATTTTTAGTAGAGACAGGGTTTCTCCACATTGGTCAGGCTGGTCTGGAATTCCTGATCTCAGGTGATCCACCCGCCTCTGCCTTCCAAAGTGTGGGATTACAGGCATGAGCCACCGTGCCCAGCTCAGAGGTCTCAGAGTCCTTTCTAGTCTCCTGCTTCTTAGGCTAAGGCCACCTATGTGTCAGAGATTTCAAACTAGCCAATGGTGAAGTGCTCCAACCACAGGAGTTGACATTTAAGGATATGGAGGCTATGTTCTTCCTAGCACCTGAATTACTCTGAGTTAGGCACTTAAACAAGTGAACCAAATTTACTAGGGTAAAATAATAATAATTATTATTGTTTGAGACCGAGTCTTACTCTGTCACCAAGGCTGGAATGCAGTGGCACAATCTTGGCTCACTGCAACCTCTGCCTCCCAGGTTCAAGCGATTCTCCCTGCCTCAGCCACCTGATAGTTGGGACTATAGGCATGTGCCACCACACTGGGCTAATTTTTGTATTTTTAGTAGAGACTGGGTTTCACCATATTGGCCAGGCTGGTCTCAAACTCCTGACCTCATGATCCGCCCACCTTGGCCTCCTAAAGTGCTGGGATTACAGACATGAACCATCAAGCCCAACTGGGTAAAATAATTATCACATGCCCTTGCATAATTTTAATTTTTTTATGCCTTGAATAATTTAAAGATTTTTTTGACATAGGACTTATGAATCCTCTCTACCCAATTATACTGTAATGTTACTGATGACAGCTGCCATATATTATGTGCTTGCTATGGGTTAGGTAGTTTTTTTTTTTTTTTTTTGAGATGGAGTTTTGCTCTTGTTGCCCAGGCTGGAGTGAAATGGCACGATCTCGGCCCACTGCAACCTCTGCCTCCCACGTTCAAGCGATTCTCCTGCCTCAGCCTCCTGAGTAGCTGGGATTACAGGCCTGCACCACCATGCCTGGCTAATTTTGTATTCTTAGTAGAGACAGGGTTTCTCCATGTTGGTTGTTGGTCAGGCTAGTCTTGAACTCCCAACCTCAGGTGATCCTCCCCCTCAGCCTCTTAAAGTGATGGGATTACAGGGGTGAGCAACCATGCCCGGCCAGGTTAGGTAGTTCTTCAGACGTATGACTTTATTTATCCTTATGGCCCTATGAATTAGGTGTTACTCTCCTAAATGTACAAATGAGAAAATTGAGCCTAGAAAGATTAAGAACCTTACTCAAGCCAGGTGTGGTGGCTCATGCCTGTAATCCCAGCACTTTGGGAGGCTGACGTGGATGGATCACAAGGTCAGGTGTTTCGAGACCAGCCTGACCAACATAGTGAAACCCCATCTCTACCAAAAATGCAAAAAAAGAAATTAGCCAGGCGTAGTGGTGCATGCCTCTAATCCCAGCTACTCAGGAGGCTGAGTCAGGAGAATCGCTTGAACTTGGGAGGCGAAGGTTGTTGCAGTGAGCTGAGATTGCGCCACTGCATCCAGCCATGGTGACAGAGTAAGACTCTGTTTCAAAAAAAAAAAGAGCCTTACTTACTTACTCAAGAACATATAGCTCACAAGAGGGAGGATGGGATTCAAATTCAAGGTCAATTAGGTGCCTGTGCTTAGAGCCAGTATCTAAGTAGCTCATTGTAGTTTCAGCAGATTCTCTTCAAGTTTTAAGCTGGGGTTTCACTGGCTCAGAAATCTATTTTGTGTAATGTTATTAATCACCACATCTCTCTCTATCATAAATTTCTCAGGAAAGAAATTAAATACAGCTCAAAAAAGAAAAACAGCTAGAAACCAAGGATTTCTTAAGGATACATTACATAACTGGCCTGAAGAAATTCCCTGAGTTCCAGAGTAGTATCAAAACTAAAATTTAATTACACTTTGTCAATGTGCAACAGACAAGAATACTGTTTATCAGGCCGGGCGCCGTGGCTCACCTGTAATCCTAGCACTTTGGGAGGCTGAGGTGGGTGGATCACCTGAGGTCAGGAGTTCAAGACCAGCCTGGCCATCATGGTGAAACTCCATCTTAAAAAAAAAAAAGAAAAAAAGAATACTACTTATCTAAGACTGTCATTCATAAGTTAAACTTGTAAGTAACAGCTAATAATTGCTCTCTCTCTCTATATTTAATAGAGATGGGATTTTGATTTCATGCTTCTAAGTGTGGCTAATGTATTTAGCAGCCAAAACTTCTCTTCCCCACAATGGTACAAGAAAAACAAATCCAACTCGACCTTTGATCTAGGGATCATGGTATCTATCTCATGGAATTGTGTAAAACAAAAAGATGCAAGGCATCTCATAGCAGTGTTCTTCCTTTCCTTTGATTTGGTGAAGAGTTTGCAATTATTCTCCGAGGAGAAATACCCTCTGGCAAGCAAGTATGGACACTACTACACCTACCCACTGTACTGAAAGATGAGCACTATCTGGTCAGAAAATGGCAGCTAGAGATTAGCCATAGCTCCAAAGTGCACCACTAGGCTCATCTTGGGTATAAGTTTCTGCCTCTTGTGACAGCCTCGATGGCTTTTGCCACCAGACAGCCTTGGGATCTAGGGGTGGTTCTGGGGGAAGAAATTACAGTGAAGTCTCAAAAAGACTTCTCTCTCCTGTCTTCCAGAGGGGTCCTGAAATATATAAAGGGTAACCATGGCCAGATGTAGTGGCTCACACCTGTAATCCCACCACTTTGGGAGGCTAAGGTGGGTGGACCACTTGAGCTCAGGAGTTCAAGGCTAGCCTGGGCTATTAAAGACAGAACAAAACAAAAGCGTAACCATGGATATGAGTTTTTTTCAGACATGGTCTCTAAAGCAATGAAAATACTATACCCTTTATTGTTTCTGAACGGGGGCACGGAGGAAAGATGGCCAAAGATAATAGGTACATTTAGGTACTGATTTAGGCTAACTTAAAACCCCATCAGATGACTACAGTTTCAGGAAGGAGCATTTTATAAAAGTTTTCCCCTCCACTCTGGAAACCATTAGGGTGGCTAAATAACCAACTATCAGATTTTTTTTTGAGATGGAGTTTCGCTTGTCACCCAGGCTGAAGTGCAACGGTGTGATCTCGGCTCACTGTAACCTCTGCCTCTCGGGTTCAAGCGATTCTCCTGTCTCAGCTTCTTCCTGAGTAGCTGGGATTACAGGCACCTGCCACAATGACCAGATACATTTTGGCATTTTTAGTAGAGATGGGGTTTCACAATGTTAGCCAGGTTGGTCTCAAACTCCTGACCTCAGGCGATGCATCCTCCAAGAAAGTGCTGGGATTACAGGTGTGAGCCACTGTGCCTGGCCAGATTTTTTTTTTTTTTTTTTGAGATGGAGTTGCCATCTTGTTGCCCAGGCTGGAGTGCAGTGGCGTGATCTTGGCTCACTGCACCTCTACCTCCCGGTTCAAGCCATTCCTCCCACCTCAGCCTCCCGAGTAGCTGGGATTATAGGTGCCCTCCACCATACCTGGCTAATTTTTGTATTTTTAGTAGAGATGCGGTTTCCCTATGTTGGCCATGCTAGTCTTGAACTCCTGACCTCAGGTGATCTGCCCACCTCGGCCTCCCAAAGTGCTGGGACTACAGGCGTGAGCCAGTGTCTGGCCCGACTATCAGATTTTTAAAACGTTCTTCCTTTTAAGAGCATCTTCCTCAACTGGATGCTTCTAGCGTGGTGTCAGGAAACTGAGCATCTCTCTGAAGGGCCCACACTGAAACTTGTGTCAGAACAAAAATTCAAATGCATCACTTAAGTGACATTCTTTTGGGACTTAGTAGTACAATTTAAAATCAAACTACTAATGTCCACTTAAGAACTTTTTTCACAATTACATTTTATTTTAAATGTGTTTGTAGGTATGTGTGTAGATGCTTCAGCTTAAGTTTCACTATTTTCACAGTGAATTAACCCATCAGATTATGCTTTTAAGGGTAGAGTTTACTAGACAGTGTACATTTAGGCATGTTTTTGAATGGTACCAACATTCTGTATTACTACTATGTCATAGTTGCATTAAAACTTTTGGTCGAGTGCAGAGCGTCCGGCGGAGCCTAGAGGCCGTGCTGGCTGGTGGCAGCAGCCGGGTACCCAGGGTTGGGCCTGGCGCGCAGGCGCTGACCCGACTAGGCAGTGAGCGGCCGCGGCCTTGGTTGCTAGGCCTTAACCCGGCCAGCGGCCGCGCCCTGCGTGTGGGTGGGCCGCGGGCGGGGTAGGAGCTTGGGCGGGGTAGGAGCTTACGCGGGGCGGCGACGATGGACGCCTTAGAAGAGAGCTTTGCGCTCTCTTTCTCCTCTGCCTCTGATGCAGAATTTGATGCCGTGGTTGGATATTTAGAGGACATTATCATGGATGACAAGTTCCAGTTACTACAGAGAAATTTCATGGACAAGTACTACCTGGAGTTTGAAGACACAGAGGAGAATAAACTCACCTACACTCCTATTTTTAATGAATACATTTCTCTGGTAGAAAAATATGTTGAAGAACAGCTGCTGGAGCGGATTCCTGGATTCAACATGGCAGCTTTCACCGTAACATTACAGCATCATAGAGATGAAGTGGCTGGTGACATATTCGACATGCTGCTCACCTTTACAGATTTTCTGGCTTTTAAAGAAATGTTTTTGGACTACAGAGCAGAAAAAGAAGGCCGAGGACTGGATTTAAGCAGTGGCTTAGTGGTGACGTCGTTGTGCAAATCATCATCTGTGCCAGCTTCCCCGAACAATCTGCGGCACTAGGTCCTGCCCCCAGCCAATGAATGGGATCATTCTGGATGTCACTGGCCCAATAGGCTCAGCTGATGATGACAGAATACATCTTAAAAAGACTGACTCTGTTATGTAACTCTTTGTGTATGTTAAGTATTGATAGGTCAAAATCAAAATGACCTAACCCCTCCTGGACCTGTTTCTCCTGAAACACCTTGTATTCATTTACCATAGTATTCCTCTTCTCCTCAAGTAGACACCTCTCTCAGGAGCTTCTGAGTCAGGCACTCCACCTGGGGGGGCCCTTCCCCCAGCACACTTGCTGGTGTGTGAGTGTGGACTAACCTGCCGTCACCACCCGCTATCCCAGCAGGCTCTGCATGAATCTTTCTGTGCACTTGCACCCCTTTTTCACATGGGTCATGGTTTCAGTACTGCAGCCTCAGTGGAGTTCCTGATGTTTATCTAGGGTGTTACTCTAGCTCATCTCGAGATTTCGGGATCTCCTGTGATCACAGCTTTTCTCAGCTGTAGGAACCAACAGAAAGAGAGGTCCTCTGCATAAAAGCTCCGCTTGAAAAGCCACCCCTAGTCCTAACATTTCCAGTCATAGTGTCACTGTCTTCTGGTTCTGATTTAGTCCCCACTGTTTCTAGAAGTCTCTTTTAAGCATTATTTTTGAAAAAAAAAATATTTTTATAGATGAATACTCAGGCTAACCTAGTGGATGTGATCTTGGAACTTCCATGATTATCCACGTAAAAGATCAAAGTATTATATGCTGTGAGCTTTTTAGGTGTTAGTGCTGTGAAGGCAAAAATGCTTTCTACATTCACGTTCGTTCCTGTGTTACTGGGCACCGATGAATGTATGCTGTGTGCTAGAAATAGACTAACGCAGATTCTTACAGCATGTTAGTGTGCTTGCATGTTTGCTGAAAAACCTTCTGTGTAAACCAGTTTGTTAGGTTGTCTGGGTTAGGTAGGGACTGCAGTTTTTTCCTGTCAAAATCTCTCCTGCCAAGATGGTGTTCCACTGTCCAGCCCAGCATGAGTAGCATGTAGAACACAGCTTTACTGGCTGTTTGTCTGCTTTGGTGTAGTGCAGTGTGTGTTAGATTACTTATCAGAAAACATGTGTGTCATCTCTAGAAAGAAAAAAAACGTAGTAGTCCAATCCCAGTGTGTCCCTTTGACTTTTTTTAATAGTAAAAATAAGAATCTGTACTGACTTTTCACTTGGCCATTCTGGTATTAAAGGAAAAGCTCTAAGCTCTGTGTTTTCCTGTGCTGATCTGTCACTTACTAAATACTTTTGTACCATGAGTAAAATTTGAGGTGTTTTGCAAGAACCAAAAAAAAAAAAAAAAAAAAAAACTTTTGGTCAACCAGGTGTTATCAGGTGGCCTGAGCCCTGGGGAGAGAGCAGCACCTGCAGAGGTAGAGGAATGCAGGCCTGATGGGAGGGAGGGCTTACCAGGCTACAGTTTCAGCCTAGGCCCAGACTGGCTCCTCCACAATCTATATCCACTACAAAGAGGGAAGACATTTGGAAGAAGCTAACTATAAATAAAGTGAGATCATTTATTAGGCTGCTTTTAATGGCAATGGCAAAAACTCCAATTACCTTTGCACCAAACCAGTATCTTCCATTGGTCCTTAGAGTTCATGTCTTACCATCATCTTAAGCCTCACGCCAAAGACAATGATTAGAAAACGGCAAATGAACTGTGCTGACATCTGCTGAGTAGGACAGTTACCCACCCACCTGAGCAGCCTACAGAACCAGAAGGATCAGAGGCATCACCAGAGACCCAAACAGAAATCACAGAAGATTGGCTATATCAAGGGAGATTATCAGCTTCATTCTTTCCTCTTGTAAGTGAAAACACTCAATCACAGTATTGGGGAGTTGGAGGTAGACACAATGTATATCTGCTAATTTGTCCAATGAATAAGACCATTAAAAAAGCTATAGTGTCTTAAAACTTGTCATAAAATAAGGATTTGTTTTTCACATTAATGAGGAAAAGATATGTCATTCAATAAGTAATATCAGGAAAAGTGGGGTAGCTATTCAGAAAAATAAATCTGAAGTGCTACCCTACTTCTTTCACCAAAATAAACTCCATATAACAATGAAACCAAAAAGGAAACACATAAGAGAAACATTTTTGTAATTGCAGATTGGGGAAGACCTTTTGAGGTTAAGAAGAAAACCCAGAAGCTATAGAGTAAGAGACTGACAGATCTGACCATGAAAAACTTAAAATTTGCACATGGCAAATTCCACAAAAACAAAAGAAATGACAACACATGATAGAAAAGAACTAATTTCCTTAATATAGAACAGGTATGTACAAGTCTTGAGAGTAAAGACAAAAAAGCAATAGGAATATGGGCAAACAGAAAATTCACAGAAAAAAAAAAGGCCTTAAACTATAGTATAATGTTAAACTTCACTCACAAGGAAAACACAGGGCAAAAACCATAGGACAAAGTTTTTACCTATCAGATTGTCAAAGATCAGAAAGGTGGTCAGGGTGTAGGGAAATAAAAGCAGTCATATTGCTGTAGTATAAGGATTAATTGGTAAAATCACTTTGGAGGACAAGTCACATAAATCTATAGATTGCAATTCCTACATCTATGTATACAGACACAAAGATGTTAACTATATAAAAGGAAACTCATCCCAGCATGGTTTGCAGTAGCAAAAGACTAGAAACAGCAAAACCGACCGGAATAAAGAGACTGATGTAACTGTGGCATGCCCAGACAACAGAGGGCCACTGCACCTGTGAAAACCTAGATCCGCATATGCAGACCTAGATCGATGTATGCGGAATCATCTCTGGGATTTACCATTTTAGAAAAAAAAAAGTATATATATTTATGGAAAAAAATGAGGTGGAGTGAATACAGCCACATACGCTAGAAGAGTGGTTCTCAGAGTGCACCTCTCAGATCAGCAGAAGCAGCATGACCCAGGAACTTTTAAGCATGCAGATGACAGGGCAACACCCAGACCTAATGATTCAGAACATCTGAGGGAAGGGTCTAGCAATCTGTTTTAATAAGCTTCCAGGTGATTCTGATGCATGCTCAAGTTTAAAGATACCCAGAAAATGGTCAAAGTTGTTACCTCTGGGGAGGAGAAACAGAAGAATGATAGGAGTGAAAGACTCTTTCATCTTGGTATGTTTGGATTCTTTTTCCATGGGTATGTATCCCCTATTTCATAAAATTATGAAGTATCACCTACTTTACATAAAAGTCTCCGGGTTGGAGGGCAATGGCACGATTATGGCTCACTGTAGTCTTGACATCCCAGCTCAAGTGATCCTCCAAACTCAGCCTAAGTAGCTGGGACTTCAGGAGTGTGCCATCATGTCTGGCCAGTTTTTAAATTTTTAGTAGAGATGGGGTCTCCCCTACATTGCCCAGGCTGGCTCTTGAACCAAGTGATCCTCCCGTCTTGGCCTCCTAACGTGCTGAAATTACAGACATGAGTCACAGCACCCAGCCAGCATGATTCTTAAAATAGAAAACAAAAAACAAAAGCAAAAACAATGACCTATTTTAGATCAAGATTTCAATGCAGAAGATGAAGCACATTTAGAGATGACCATGTTGGACTTGGCATAGCAGAGCCTAAGTTTGGTGATAATAAACCTGTTATTTATTTAGCAGAGGTTTTTTTTTTAAAAAAGGAAAAACCTTCATACTTCTCACTTAGAATGAGGCAATTACCCTTATATAGAGAGTATAAACAATTAAAAACCAATAATAAAGGCAAAGACAGAGAAAAATTGAATTTTTTTTTAAAAAAGCACATAAACCCTACATACTAAAATTATACACATCGAGTACTGGTCCAATCTTATATCAATCTATTTACAATTAAACAGCACCATGGTTTTCCCACCTAGGTTAGTTAAACATGCCCAGAGAATTGTTATTCAAAGTACATGTTCCTTTAAAATAAAATAAACTCTTAAAGAGAGCTCAAATCCTCAACAAAAAAAGACCTTTTACCAATCGACATCATAGATATTGATGACATCACAAATTTTCCTTAAGAAAAAATAGTTTTAAACACTTTTTCTTTGCCAGTTGACAAACTTTTGAGAAGTGCTACTATTTGATGTGGCACACAAATGAACAAAAACTCTGATGACAGGAGCGATATACTGAAATACCCTAATATCTCCACCTCTAAACACACAAAAAGTTCTCCTTTGGGATTAATGCTGTGGTCTTCACTTGAATTTAGATTCAATCATCAGCAAATTTAAATTAGATATAGCCACAATCTTTAAAGTGATTGCATAAAAACAGGGTAGTAGTTAAAGCTCTCAGAAACATGATAACTTACAATTACAGATATATTTAATCGGGCTATAGGAAATGTAACACCATTTAAATGTTACATTTAAACTAATTAGCAGTTTCATTTTTGTCATTAAAATTAATAATGCACTTCACATCCAAACAGGTGTGGAGGGCTGATATTTTCCAACTGAGAACAGCGTTAAGTGCCTTCTTGCCTGTACTTTTTCATCTCGCGGATTCTCAGGGGTACATTGGTCACACGTTAGCCCTTCTCACTTATGAAACCAACTTTTAAAAGGCTCCAAATTAAACTTAATTCTTGGCAGGTTTACTCCAGTCATAGCATAGAAGAATCAGATTATCTCACTGGATTTTTCAGTCCCCTAATCCTGACTTGCAAAAGGTTCTTATAATTTACCTCTTTGCTACAAAAGATGAGGGAGGAAAATTGTCATCTACCATGACTAGAGGTAACAAGAGAACTGGAAAGCACTAAGGTATAAAGCAATGTTCCATTATTTGGTCTCACTGCTAATGTTTATGTGACACCAGTAAAACGTTCACACTTACAAATTTTGAGTTGAAATTTCCTCTAAAAGATTGAAAATAGGCACAGTTCTCCCAGGCACAGATAGAATATGCTTTCCTTACACTCCTCCCTGCAAAGTGGAGGAGACCAATGACTTTATTAACTTGTAGTGGGAACAGCTTACTTGATTCTGGTGTTTCCTGGCCCAGGAACCATGCATTTGGGGGTTATAGTTTGCTATGAAAAGTTCCAAGCAGGATAGATAGATCAATGAAGGTACAATATAGCAGTGACCTTCTGAGCCTGGATATAAAAACAGTTTCAATATATAGACCTTTCAAAATACTTATGCAGCAAGATGACAGTGACTTTTCAACTGAGTATCTGTTGAAAATCAGAGACCTGACTGTATTGACTAAATTATTGCCTAGTGTTCCAGAAGGGTGCCTGCCACTAACGTGCTAGAAGGCACCAAAATTTAGCGTGAATGTAAATAAGGAGCTCGACACGTGCGGATGAGGAAAGCAACACTAAAGCACAATTTGCCAGTCTACTCACTTATGGCTGAATATTAATCGAGCTAACAATAAAAAAACCAGAATACAAGCAACCTCAAATACTTCTCTTTTCAGTTTCCATTAGAAAAAAAAAAAGCTTAAGTTTTATATCTATTATTTATGGTTTCTGGAAATTATATAATTTGATATATTCTTCTAAAAAAATTCTGTATTCAAAAAGGTGCTTGGTGCTGTCCTTCATGGATGCAATGTTTCATTTACAGTCCAAGTCATTTAAATACAACCATTACATAGGTGTTGTTTTAAAATAAATGGTTATCTATTTCTTAACTGCCCTTCAAATTAGAAATTGTAATTACATGAGTCTCAAAGCCTGGCTCTTTGTGTTTTATTATTTTTGTTGGTCTCCATCACAGATGGAATTTTTCACTGGTAATTCCTCAGAACTAAATCCATTCATAGGGAAGGAATTTAGAGCAGTGAAATAAATTTCACGCCATAGAGTAGGACATAACAACAACAATAAAAGGG